CCATGCCTATCCGCTCGGATCTCCACATCCGCTTTATTTTCTCCCATACCGTGTTGTTCCCAACATAGAGATGGTGTGTCTTTCCCGGCTCCGTGGCGTCCTTCAGTGCCGTACGGATTTGCTCCTCGCTCACCCCGGGTTGCGACCAAATGACGCGAATCCTACTTTTCCCGTATCTTCGGTAATCTATTTTCATGATCCCTGTTGTCCTGGTTTTCCAGATTACCTGTCTATGCTTGTCGTTGATGATTTCGTCTATTTCCTCCATCGCCTCTGGTCTTTCCTCCGCTGAGCTATCTTCTTCCGGGGACCCCTCCCTGTCCTCTATACTGACGGTATCATCTGCCCCTTCACCCTCGGGAGTCCATTCCCTCAAGAATTGGCGCACGTCCCGCGATGGACCTCCTCCGTCCTCTTCTACCGCGTTGATCATGATGGCCCTAGAGAGCCAGTCTGCCACCACGTTTTCCTTTCCCGGCTTATACACCACCTCCATGTTGTACTGACTAAGGAATTCTTTCCATCTCGTGACCCTCGCAGAGGTTTCCTTAAGTTTTCCTACCCACTGAAGGGGTTTGTGATCGGTGTGGACTCGAAACTTCCTCCCATATATATACGGCCTGAAATGGTCGATGGCCCACACTATCGCGAGTAGCTCCCTCTCTAACGCGCTGTACCGTGATTCCGCGCTCGTAAGTCGTCGGCTCGCGTATGCTATCGGACGTTCGCCCTCACTTCTGCCCTGAGATAAAACGGCCCCCAACGCGTATTCGCTCGCATCGGTGGTGACGTTGAACTGCTTCTCAAAATCCGGGAACGCCAATACGGGTTCTGCCTGCAACCTATCCATGCATTTCCTAATATTATTTTCCATTTCCGGTGTCACCACGATCCTCGCGCCTTTCTTCAGCAAGTTATTGATAGGTACCAAGTATTCTGCCATCTCAGGTACGAACCTCCTATAATAATTCAGCGTCCCGAGAAGCCTACGAATCCCTTTAACGTCCCGTGGCACCGCCATTCGTGTGATAGCCTCCACCTTTGCCGCATCCGGTCTGACCCCCTCGCTAGAAATAGTGTGGCCTAAAAAATTGATTCGCGTTTGTCCCAACAGGGACTTCTCACTTGACAGTTTCAGCCCGAATTGTCGCAGCCTTTCGAATACCGACCTCAAATGCCCCACGTGTTCGGCTTCCGTTCTGCTAAAAATCAGCAGGTCGTCCATGTATACTTGACATACGGAGTCGTCGATCCCCCTCAGAAATTCGTCCATCAGGCGTTGGGACCGACACTCCCTAAACATTTGGAAGATATCTTCTTCTGGCGTCCATCGGCCCCCTCCGAAAGCCTTCTTCAAGCGCTCCTTAATCACTGGCCATGGTGTCTCCTCGTCCGCTTGGATTTGGTTGAGGATGTTCCTCCTCACTCGGCACACGAGAGCTGCCTTCAGTGCTTCTGCGTCTCCCAGGTTCACGAGGTCCTCCGCCACCTTTGCTTCGATTCTTGATATGAGGCGGTCTCCGCCTTTCAGGAAGTGATTAAGTTCACCTACCTCGCCCCCGAATCGCTCCAGGTCTGCGATTGCTCTCCGTAGATCCTGCGTGGTTGCTGCCCTTATCTTCATCCACTCCAATGCATTGGCATGCGCCTCTGCCAATGTGTCCCTAGGTAAGGGAGGGATCTCTTGTATCTGCGGTACTTGAGGTATCTGAGGTATCTGCGGAATCTGCGGAACCTGAGGGGCGATCTGAGGAATCTGCGCTATCGGCATTTCCTGAGGTTGCGGCATTTCAGGTGCGTTCAACACTCCTGGTCGAATTATGCCCTCTGTCGGCATCTCGTCTTTTCCTTATGACTAGGAGAAGAGAAAAAAAAAATTTAAAATAAAGACAGACAAAAAAAAAATTTTTACTTCCGTGTTCTCCTGACGTTCTCCCGGGTTTCGGCACCAGTTAAGCGTCTCCGAGCTTTAAAAATAAAAAAAAAGAAGGAAAGAGGAACGAGAAACAATACTCACGGCTTCTGAATAAACACTGCTTTATTCGTCCAATAATCTGCCTTATATACAATCGCTATGTTTATTTACATTACAAGATGGTATTAAGGCTGATATCGCCAGTCTCCGGTCTTTATCTTATATATATATATATATATATTTATATATATATAATTTAATTTAATCTTATTTGTCAATATATATATATATTATATATATATATATATATATATATATATATATATATATATATATATATATATATATATATATATATATAACAGTGAAAGAACAAAAACCCTTTTATAAATCAAATATAGTTGCACTATGTTCCTATTTCACAGAAGTTAAATTGTTATCCTTATAATGATGTAGCATAATCAGGATATGTGGTGATTTATGCTATTTAATAAGTTTGCCGACATTTAAAACTGACTATTTTTCATCCTTATAATTTTAAGTCAACTCCATCCATCTCCATCTCTTATTCTTATAAGGCTAAATTCTTACCAACATATGTTAAGATGATTAAATTTGCTTTAAAAAAAATAATTTTTCTAACCATCCCAAACAATAAGTTTTTGAAAATAAAGTATAAAGTATTTTGTAGAATATTAGCGAAGAAGGATTAGTTAATCAGAGAATTTAGACGGTTACGCAATACTAAATTGTTTAAACTGTATTCGGTTAATATAATTGAGGTTATTACATCGCGGTGAATCAAACGGACTTGTAAAATTGTTGGGCTTAGTAATGACAGAATTCTTAAAAGGTTAATATTTGCTGTGTCGACTGGTAAGGGGCAGAACGAAGCGAAGGTGAGTAGATTATTTGTTAAGGCCGATCTGAAGGGACTGAGATTGGATGGCGACTGGTGGAGCGAGGCGTGTAATAAGCGCTTGGTGGTGTCAGCATCGAACCTTTGGGTTCGCTAATCCTTTTATTATTATTATTATCCTAAACAATAAGTAATAGCATTATGAGGATATGATAATAGGGTAAGAGCTTGTATTAAAAAACAGTATCGCTCTCAATTTCTTCAATTGTAAAATTATAAACAACCAACCGCAACCAGTAAGTAATTTTTGATGTGCTGTCTATTAGAAACAAATATTCTGGAGTGTTATCTTTTCACTCATTATTGATACCAGATAAACATTAAACATTGTATACATACCTTGACCATATCTATGGTGGTCATAGGAAACACGCTATGCTTATAAATTAAAAGAATTAAAGAATGCCTTCCCCAGTTTAATATTAAGTATACATCACAAAGAAAGAGCAGGGAAGGATTATTTAGAGAATTGAATTACAGAATTGTTTAGAATATTGTAATTATATATCAAAGTGAATTATTATGCAATGGTTGGATAATTCATATTTTTACTTTCCTACCTATACTAGGTAAGGAAAGTATTGCGATAGGGTCAAATTTCCGATATGCGGTTTTTCGATGGACCGATATGTTTCTAAGCCCACTGAGTCCAAAAAACATGTTTTTAGTCATTGGTCTGTCTGTCTGAGCCAAGATTTTCTCGGGAGTTACAGGGACCGATTTTGTTGCTTCATTTTTTATTTTATTGTTTTGACTACTGATGCCTGTGACACAGATGAGTGCGCCATAAAAAATACCATTTAACCTGTTTTTTGAAAGGTATTAAAATTTCCTACCAAACTATATAAAAATCGTCCCTTTCAGACAACTATTAACGAAGTTACAGCTATTCATTTTTCAACGTAATATTACGGGTACATATCCTGGTGTCAGAAAGGGATGAATGAGAGAAAAAATATAACTTGGTGAAAGTAAGAAAATCTGTTGCCCGCATCACACAAGCTTCACTATTTCCTCTACTTTTAACAGAAATTATTGTTTGACAAAATTAGGCTATGGTAAAAAGTTTTTGATCAGCAATATTAGAGGCTATTGAAATTTTTACATTGATCTACCTTAAGCCGATTTACATTCCTTTAGTTTATCCAATAAATCGTACTCGATATCTTTTCTTTGATAAATTTTCAGGAAAATAAATCGAATTCAATTTTTTTTGTTTCTTGATGGACATATGTAAAGATATAAATACTTTTCTGAAATAGGTAGGAAAGTGTGTGAGTGGACACACCAAATTTTTTTCTTTTATGAAATAATGACTTCAAAACACAATAGATTATGAAACCAAATAGGAGATTGTAATACCGAGTTCCAAGGATTATCCTGGGTTGATCAATGATTTTACTATGTACTTTTATTATTATTATTATTTTCCATAAGAAGAGTATATAATATAATAATCAAACGTAATCCAACATGATTGAAAATATAAAGAAAAACAAGCTATTGAAGAAGTTTTCGACAAACTAACATTACTAATTTAAATATTGAAGAGCTCAAGTAATTAGGATACAAATATAAGATTCCAACTGTAAAACTATTAACCTGTATGTTATAGACTAGACTTTTAAATAATATTTGGAATCTTATATTTGTATCCAACTTACTAATTTCCATTAAAATAATCATAGATGCTTTACTTTGAACATAGAGCAGTCCAAGGGCAAATTCAGTTGAAATTTACAATTTTGTTTTCCTTTAGAAATCCAATATTACTTATAAAATATTCACAAGTTAGTGAATATTTAGTAAGTCATTTTGGAGAATTTAGGAAAAAACAAAATATTAGTTTTAACCTTTTACCTTTTTTCAAGTATATAATATAAATTTCTGAAGGTAAATTTAATTTAAAAAAAAAAGAAAAGATATATTAAATTCTATATATAAACACAATGTAAAACAGTTTATTATATACAAAAAAAAAAATACAAATTTAAAGATTTTCAGTCAATTCATTTAACAAATAGGTAACTCATAATGCAACAGATTGATCACATTATATGTATCAACTCAAATTTATAAGAAAAAGGCATTATCGGCAATACCATGATTTAACGACGAAAACAATAACAGTACATATTGACTATTTCTTCCTTTTTTAAATTAAAACTACCTATTTAAAAAACTGCTAGCCCAACGTGAGGTAAGTGGAGGATTCTGTTTTTTATCTTTATTGTATTTATCTCTTTCTTCCATTTGTTCCTGAAAATGTAAATAAAAATAAAATGATTAAGATCCTGTTCAAATTGAGAACGCGATAAAAAGTGGCTTTTAAATATGTACATACCAATAACCTTCGTTGATTATCTCTAAATGCTTCAATTGGATTTTCAAATTGCCTATAATAGACCAAAACATCTCGAACATCTTCTACTTCATTAGCAGCGATAGCTTAAAATGACAAAATCGAAATTAACTATATTGCTTCGAAAGCAAAGAAACAAGTATGAAATGTTTTCAAGTAACCATTACATCAATTACTACTACTAATGATTATATAATTAAAATAACTATTAACAATCAATACTAATATTGTTAAATACTATAACTCAATTCATTGTAATTTTTCAAATTTATTTGATATGATGATCTTTTATTTCGTCTTCAGAGGATTTTTTTTTTTTCTGTGCAAAATGCACTGCGGTCGTGAAGGCATATTTCACGTCCTAATTAATATTGCTATTAATATTAATTTGAACATTAATCTGGCAATCTTTTGCAAATTGAAGAAGACTAGTCTGATTGACAAGCTTGTTCTTGGGGTCTAACAATCAGTAATTCCCAAATAGTCGGAGTCTTATGCCAGCGAACCTGTCGTATCAACAGGTCATATGATAAGCAGTTTCATCCTCCTTGCCATAGAACCCACAGAGATATGATTCCATTAACCCGAGTTTGAACGTATGATAGTACGGTTTGCAGTGACTAGTAGGGATCACAGTAATTTTCTTGAGAGAACTCTCGCTCAAGTTATTCAGCAGATTAGTCCAATTTGCAAAAAAATAGCCTAGAATGAGTTTGTTTTTTAAACACAAATATTTCTTGGCTTCTGCACCATAAGCCTCCCTGATTCTTCTTTTAATTAGACTCATGCTAACACCGCAAATAGGATGTTGCAGAAGTAATTTCAGAGCCTCTTCTGGTTAATTCGTCCTCCATCTCATTGCCAGTAATACAAGAGTGACTTCGCACCCATTCGATAAATATCTTATTGAGCCATAGGCATTACCATTAGAGGCGTTACTTTTAATCATAATTTTGATTTTAATTTCTATCACTTGCTTGTCTCTTTATTTTCATTATATGCATATATATATTATATATATATATATATATATATATATATATATATATATATATATATATATTGGGAGAGATAGTTTTTCTTCTTAGTTAGAAAAAATTTGCCTTTAAAAACAAATAATAGATTTCGACTTCGAATAAATCTGGAGAGTTACAATAAATCATTAGCCGACCACATAATTTTAAAATTGGTTGATATTTTTTAAACTAGACCTCCGATAACATACTTACAGACCCTTTTTGGGTATAGGACAGATAATTCCCTATCCCATAAAAAATTGTGTGGAAGAGTGTTGCAAAAGATTACCAATCATCTTTCAAGAAAGTTCCAGAGAGTGAATTGTGATTGCGCCCGGTTAGTAAACCACGTGCTCCCAGGATATCTCAAAGAAGAGAGAACTAAAGATCACTACTCCCTCCTATAATAGCCCCAAAAGCTGCTAAAGAAGACTCATGATGAAAAAAGTTTAAATCAACAGGCGTAAGAAAAAAAAAAAGACCCTTTATCAAAGAAATACCGAAAATTCCATACATACCCGATCTTGTTATTTTAAAATTAATGTAATTTTTCAAAGCTATTCCTCTGATAACATAAAATAGACTCTAATATAAAAAAATCCGGAAAGATAAAATAAATTGATAAATAAACATGTAATCTCAAAAAATGAATAATGTGCTAACATAATCTTTTGTTTTTATAAAGACCAATTAATTAATATAAAATAAACCAATTACAAACATTTCATAAATATGACATGGTTAACTTCATTACCTTGAGAGAATTAAAGGGCTATAACATGCAAATGAAAGATTGGGAAGATAAAATTATTTATACTTACTCCGTAGAAAAGCAGCAAGATCCACTAGCGTTGTATCATCATCATTTCCGTTCCACTTAGGAATTAGAAAGGCGTTGTTTGGATGAAGTTTAACTGAAGTAGAATTCCAATCAACAACAATCACCTGTTCAAAAAATATAATGTTGAAAATAAAAGTAAAAAAATTTAATCAAGGGTGAGGGAACTTTTTTTCTGTACAGCATTATGAAGCAAATCTTGATTGCTCAATTAAAAATGTATGTAACATAGATAACATATTAACAATTAATTTTTTTTTTTATATTTATTTTAATGAAATTTACAACTGTATTACATGAAAAATACAACAAGTGTAATGACATTATACAAATGTGACATTGGTAACATGACATCTATAATATGAAGAGAAACTACCCATTGGTAGAACTCAAATTAAAGTTCTATATTAGAAGGTCCCGGAGCCATCTTCTTTTCAGAAGCCTCGGAAGGTTATCAGGGATTGAGGAGGAAGCAAGGTTGGAAACGAGAGGGTTCAGATGGTTCTGCAGTTTGTTACGGAAGGATAGGTATCTGGATTGGGCCAAATCGGAAACATATGGAACATTAAGGTCTTTATGGATGATATTATTTGTGATAAAGTAAGGAGCGTTGAGGATTTTACGAAGGATTTTGGATTGTAAGGATTGGACACGAGAGGATTTCGATGGTTTAGTGGAGCCCCAAAGCTCAATTCCGTAAGTCCAAATAGGTCTTATTATTGTTATATATATATATATGAGTCGTTTGTAATTGATTGAAAGCTTACAGCGTTCGTCTAGTAAGTGCTGCAGTAGTTGAAAACGTCGGGCAGTTTCTAGTCGTTTCAGTCTGGTATGGGGGTTCCAAGTGAGTCGTTTGTCCAGGTGGAGTCCTAGGTATCGGATTTGTTCGACAGGGATGAGGGCTATTGTTGAAGGATACTGTAGGACAGTAAGTCATAGGTTTACGATGAAGAATAAAGGTAATTTGATGGGATTTATTGGAAGTTATTTTAATCCTCCAGTTTTGACACCATTTTTCAAGACTTGTGATGTGTGATTGAAGAGTTCGGGATGCAATAGATGGATCGTTCTTAACTGATAGGATACGCGTGTCATCGGCATAGGTAGTGATGACAGTGTTGGTTATTATTTTTAAGTTTTAAACATATCAGACTGAAAATTATTTTCATATTCATGTTACAACATAACATTATTTTATTCACTTCTAACCCAATTTATGATCCCATGATAAATTCACTGTTCTACATATCATGGATGATTAATAGTCAGGACGCAGTAATTTTAAGATTTTTATTATTGACGATGCTTCAACCAAGTTTGTGGGTCATCATCAGGGCATGTTACCAGCACTGAAGGTGTTTAAAAACTCTTCACCACAAGTAGAGTAGTTGAACACCTGGCAACAATAAAAATCTTAAAATTACTGCGTTCTGACTATTTATTACCCACCATAATTAGAACAATTCAAATATTGAAAAAATTACATATCTATCAGACAAATATCTACATAATATATCTATTATAAATACAAAAAAATAAAAAAGTACAGTATAAAACCCTAAATATGATATTGATAATAAAAGAAATAAATAATGCATTAGTACTACCACAACTTGATTAAAATTTGTTTAAAAATAAATATTAATCCACAATATTGGAACATCTTAATTTTATTTATAACCTATTATATTAATTTACGAAAATACATAAAGGTTTCGTCAGAAATCTCAGTTGTTTTCAAAATATAAGTTCTTCAAACAGGATGGTCCTGTAGGGGAAGGGAATGGATTGTAAGAAACAGAGAAGTGGGAGTTAAATAAAATGTACAGCGTTACTTCCAAAATAGCAGATTTGTCGTACACAAATCAAGTGCCCTCTAAAGGAGCGTAGGAATTCTATTAAACAAATCAACTGAAGTTTAAGGACTTGCCGATAAGTTAAGCCTTGCAGAAAGAACACTCAATGCAGTGAAGGAAGCTTTTGAGGCACTGTAAAAATCCTTGGTATACTTGGGCCTAAGGATAAAAAGTTGATTACACGAGTACCCAATCACCAGAGTAAGATACGGAAAGATACATACAATAAGTCTGAATCGAAAGGGTCATTCATTTATCTGCTTAGGATCGGTCAACTACAAAAGTAATATGCAAGAAAAAATAGAGCGACGCATCATTCTGCGAATAGCACATATTTTGTGCTGCAAAAACATATAAGAAGCAGCATATTGTCCAAATCCTCATGGATAAATTAACATGGATCTATAAGACCCTTATTAGCCCTGTACTTACATTCGGCTCAGAATGTGGTGACTAAATCCCAAGAACCAGCACTTCTGAGATTTGAAAGGAAAATGCTCCACAGAATATATGTAGGTGGAAGGAGATGGTCCAGAGTGGCGGTCATAAATAGGCTAAATAGTGGTAAAACTATTTTATTTTAAGCCGACCCGACTGTGCAGCTCTTCTTCAGGGCTAGAACGGACAAGATACAAAAAGACAGAGAATTGTGACAGTTACATAATATTTAGACAAAATTTATAAACAATGTGAATAAGCTTATTGAAATCATAAACAGTAAGTACATTAAAATATGAACAAAGTAAGCTAAGTAACAAGATCCTAAACTGAAGTAAATAGATGTTAACAATCGTTGTAGTGTAATATATAATAAATGCAAATGTGCATATACTTCTACAGATCTACAGGAGAGATTGGAAGAAAAGGAAAAAGGATATAATATGAAATAATATACATAAAAGAATGTGGAGAAAAAAAGAAACAAAAAATTAAATAAATAAGTAAATAAAACTTAGCAAAACAAGTCATTTCCCCTATACCTGCCCTTACCCCTGCTCTCCAGTTCTAAGTGAAACTCCTTGCTGAACACACCTGTAAGTCTCTAATTTTATTCTTACATTTTATTTATTTAATTTTTTTTCTCTTTTCTTTCTCCACATTCTTTTATGTATATTATTTCATATTATATCCTATTTCATTTTCATTCATTTTCATAATCTCTCTGTAGATCTGTAGAAGTATATTCACATTTGCATTTATTATATATTACACTACAACAATTGTTAGTATCTATTTACTTCAGTTTAGAATCTTGTTACTTAGCTTATTCTGTTCATATTTTAATGTACTTACTGTTTATAATTTTAATAAGCTTATTCACATTGTTTATAAATTTTGTCTAAATATTATGTAACTGCCACAATTCTCTATCTTTTTGTATCTTGTCCGTTCTAGCCCTGAAGAAGACCTGCAAAGTCGGGTCGAAACGTCGGCTTTCAATAAAATAGTTTGACCACTATTTAGCCTATTTATGACCACCACCCCGGACCATCTCCTTCCTTTATAATGCAACGGTCAACTATTAAATATTCAATATGTAGATGTGTGTGAACAGGGCTCCTGGAAAAGACGAACAAATTCTGAAGGTAGCACGATGAATAAAGACATCAATGTCATTAGCTACATCTAACTCGCACAACTCTGTTCGGGCGGGGCATGTTATTATTAGAATAAAACAGGGTACAGTGTATGAGACAAGGTGAGTAGGACACCCAAAGCTTTGTTTGGGAGGATTTGTTTAGGGTAATAACCATGACATTTGTTATAACTAGGAATCTGTTCCGATTGATGAAAAAATTATTGGTATGATGCAGTCACAATATTTATAGGCTATATAATAATGAATGAAATATCTGGACCCACTTTCATGGGGAGGCAGACGAAGCATTTGGATAGAGGTGACGCTTGTTAAGAAATTGGAAGGCAGTGGCACGCAATACAGAGGACTGGCAATCCATGTTGGAGCAGACTTTGATTCCTCAAGTGGGTCATGATGCCAGATAAGAAGGAGAAGAAGTCTAAAGAAGCATGTTTACTAACATTTTCCTTAAAATTTTTCACACCACTCATTTAATTAAATTTTCTTCTACATCACCACATATGTTTAATTGAACAAGAAGATCCTAATCATGTAGTGTTGCTGTCAGGAATCCGTACCACAATATGAAAACTGAAAATATATCTGAAAATTTTGCAGTATCTAAACAACAAATCCACTATTTTAGAAGTAACATCATACAGTGTACAAAACTCCTACTCTTTTTTTCCAATGAGCCATTCCTCATCCATTTAAAGTACCAGTATTTTTAAAAATATGCATTCTTTCTGAAGAACCTTGTACATCAGCCACCTGCAATGGAAGAGGTATAACTCAAAGAAAACCAATTCTTTCTTAGAGTTAAACACCTTTCATTCTGAATAAGGAATTCAAAATATTTTTTAAAATATAATAGACATCAAACAAACCTTTTTCAAATCCCTGTTGAGGCAATCTAAATTTTTTACATGGTGGCCATCAACAAAATCCGTAGCATCCCTCACTAATCTGTACATAATATATCCGTTGGGATCTAGCGAGTCAAGGATGGGGAAAACGGTCTAGAAAATAAAAAAACAAAATAGATTAATAAAAGATTACTAAATAGAAAATATGATAAGTAGGAGAGAGGGTAGTTAACAATTTTGTATGCAGCCTAAGTAAATATTTTAGAAATTTTTTTTAGTTCATTTAAAATAATCATAATGAAAAAAACAAAACAATTTCATTAATATGTGACTAACTAAACTATAAATCTTTATATAATTTTGTTTTCCTGATTTTATTAAAAATTACTTGTGCTGTGCAGTTTGAGCTTTAACTATAAAACTATGAGATAAAATTTAAAAGAGACTGGGGTTGTGCCAGGGTACAGTTGCGACAGTCACCATAATTAGCGAAACTATAAGGAATAGCAGATAGGTGTAATGGGAAGCGTGTAGGTCTGAACATGTTTCATAGGATAGCATCGTGCGGCATTAACACAAATAGAGGCCTTCATTACATTTTAACAGACAAAGGTAACTATTTTTATTTAATTTCTTTAATTAATAGTTGTTATACATGTACAGATATAGTAATGATTATTTGTCCTCGTTATAAGTTAAAACATTAGTAGTTAAATAGCAGTGATTACTTTGTACGTAGATAATTTTGAACTACCTAGGCGATTGGTTTTTTTGTCAAGAAGTGGGTTGGGGACAGTTGTGACATACACTGACAGGCAAAAAATTCCACCCACTTGATTTTTTCATGTTTTCATCAAAAACATTTCTGCTTTGGATTGGTATATTGTTTTTAATGAATAAATAGGTAATCTTTTTGTTTGTTTTCAATTAGGAATGTTAATATAGAGGACAATAACCCTTAATTCTTAATTCAATGAAATGATTCTAGATTCCAATGTTTACTTTCTATGGAATCAAAATGTTTATTCAGTATCATTAGTTCAGTGCCATTTCTTGCATCACATTTCTTAGTCTCCAGCTTTTAATTTTTTCAATATTAAGTTTAAAAATACCTCTTAGTACTGAGGATGTTGCGCGTGGTTTGGCACTTATTGATGATGGACGTTCCATTAGATATGTAGCTAATGCCATCGGAGTTCCATATGAAACTTTACGAGACGTCGTTCTGGATGGCCTAGGGTAACAGGACCGGTTTTTGACTTTGAGAATTTCATGAAACCGGCACCTTGTCGTTGTTCAAGCTATTCATCAGCTCGAAGAAGTTCGAGGTGTGCAAATTTCTGAACGTACCGCACGGATAAGATTAAATGAGTATGGATTAATGGCTTTTCGTCCAGTAAGAGGACCAGAGATGACCAGAACTCACAGAGTAACACGGCTGGCTTTTGCTCGAGGCATTTTTAAACTTAATATTGAAAAAATTAAAAGCCAGAGACTAAGAAATGTGCTGCAAGAAACGGCACTGAACTTCTCAGCCGTACTGCGGCTCTCGGGGATGTGTGCCCCAACCTTTGTTAGTTACAAGCGATTAGAATGTTCCCAGATTTTATTTATTTTGTTATAATAATAATCATTATAAATTTTAGAGCATTTTGGTATATATTTTCAATCTGTTGCCACCAATCCCAAGCACTGTTACAACCGTAGGTGGAGTCGGTTAAAACATTTTTTTTTCTTCCTGATTTGCTCCTATGAGTTAACCATTGTATTTATGAACAAATTTTTAGTATTTATATGTAGTCAAATATATACTTCACTATTCAAAACAATTTTCTTCTAGCCGATTGGTATAATAACAAAATTATGGGCAATTATATGAAAACTGTCACAACCGTACCAAGTCTCCCCTAATTTAAATATTTAAAAAAAAATTCATTTAAGAAAAAAAATCCGTCACGAGAATATTTTGAAAATATCAGTCAAAAATATTTTGACATGAAGGTAATCAAAATTTTATAATTGTGTGGAGATGGTTTGCAAATATTATTACAATATATAGTATTATATATTAACCGCATCCCCGACCTACTCCTCAAAATTTGTGTAGTTCATTTCACAAAAATGCATAAGTCACTTAAGGGTCGTTTTCATTCAAATTAGACTGTTTGTAATGGTATCATGAAATTAATTCATCCGAAAATTCAGTATTGTTGAATTGAAAACATTGAGAATCAAAATTGATTATCAGAAATTATCATCTACAGAAAATCATAATTATAGAGTAATATTCCATACCAATCCTTGCTCGGCAGTGTAGACAACGATTTCGAAGTTGGGCGCACTCACTTGTTCCAAGAATTTATCAACGCCAGGCCTTTTCTTAAACCTCCATCCTGTTTGGTACTAAAGTAACAAATTATGACTATTATAGAAGATAATAACAAATCTATTTGGTTCAATAGATCAAGACTTACGGTCCATTCTGGGTGAACTAACACATCTGTCATCTCTAACACTAATGTATAAGGTGGTTGAAAGTACGGATGTTTCACAGGATCTGGTAATAATTTATCTCTGGATGGTTCTTTGATCATCTGAACATAAAATAAAAAATAGATATAATTTTAAAAACATGTTTTAAAAAAACATAAAATGTGCTATAATCCAAATCATTTGCATTCAGATGAGGATTTGTGGAACCTATACTCTGATCCAGGAATCAAGAAAAATAGATTAAACAAAAATAACTTCTAAAACAACATGCCTATATAACCCTCTGCTAAGCATTGAGCCAGTAGGAATCACGGGAACCTATAAACACTCTGCTACAACAGTCTCAGGTTTTCACATTTTACTCCATTAAATAATCATAAATTTAACACATCCCTCTTCCTGACACATTAACATTTCCTTTTTTATCTAATATCACCTACAAAAATGATTTCTGTTAGTTTATGGATAAATAATATTTATTCTTCACGTTAAAATTGTTATTATGTAAATAAGGCTTTGGTCATGAAGCCGATATTAACTTCGATTAAAAACATGAAATATTATATATATAATATTGGAGGGAAGAAATAAAAATTACCCAGAGATTTATTTATCAAAAATCAAAAACTAAATTTTAAAGAAAACAGCCAACAAAATTTAATCTTCTAAAAATTAATCCTTTATAAAGCCATCATTAAAAACAGGGAAAAGATACTTTGCAGATTCTTCTTTTATAGTAAAAATTCCTTCATGAAAATGTTTAGGCATAGAGAAACCGATCTGACGTCACAGAAAGGCATAAGTCCCAAAACAAAAAAATTACATCAAACTTTTTAATGAAAAGAGTCCATAAGCAATAGTTCTAAAGATTTATTCATTAAACACTACGTAACAGATTAATACAAAATTTATCAATTTTTTTTCTTCTTCAAACCTAGCATGAGATAATCTAAAAATCTCAATTTTTTTTTTTCATTTTGATGTTAACATCTTTCTTCTTGTCAAAATATGTATAGAGAAACATTTAGGAAGGCCAGAATAAATTGAAATTGTTCCCTTAGATGAAGTTACAATAAACAAAAATCCTTTTGACATAAACTGGAGGTTTCAGTCCCATGCTGAGTTAATGTTAAAAAGGTATTAGCATAAAACAAAGCAGGAATCCACACAGAATTTGTTTCAAATCAGGAAAAAATAAAACTCAAAACCATTTTGAGCACAGTTTTCACATTTATTCACCTAGTATTTCAAATTCATAATCCCTTACCTACATAGGATAGACAATAAAATAAATAAATATTTAGCCAGTTATTTATAAATGATTGTTACCTTGTTATAATATTCTATTTCATGAAACATCCTTTTGAAAAACTGTTGTATAACGGGCAATTTACTGAATTCGTCTTCAATTATATTTCCTTCTTCGTCTCTTTTAGGCCTTCCTTTAAAAAATATATAAACAAAATTGATAATTGGACAAATGAAGCAAGTATTTAATAGCCCCAAATGGGTTTGATAGGATAATATCAAATTTAATAATCATATCACTATTAAATAAGGTGTTTTTTTTTTTTTATGGGAAAGAAATGCGCCGAGATAGACAGAAATGGATGGAGGAGGCTGGTTAAGGTGGTAAAAGATTTACATGGTCTATAAAGCCAACAGAAAGAAATGAAAATAAGGATTATTGTACACCAACAGTTCAAGTTCTTATCATTTGAAGAAAATAAATGATTAAAAAAAAATAATGGCAATCAAATGTACCAGAGTTGTACACAATCAGGTATGAAAGGTAATAGACATGATATGAGATTTGGCATACATATTAGATGTAGAGGTTAAGTTATAGAACAAAGAAGAAATTGGCAGGGAGGGTTCAAACTAACTATAGCAATAATTACATTTTATTCATTGTTCTACTAAATGAGAATATTATAATGATAGTGTTATAAGTCAAGTTTGTTTTTTGTCCATATATTGAAAATATTTTCATTATCAATCTAAGAATTAAGTACATACATAGTACAAAAATTACCTTGAATTACACTACTATCATTTTAACATCCTTAAACAATTATCATAGTTAACTTAGTACAAGATTTAGAGGGAACATAATTACTTCCTTATTATTCCCTAAACCTTCTATTTTGGTATATTTAAATTAATTAAATTTGTTATCATTTTATTGGCACTAGTTCTGACAATGCACTAAGATGATGCACAGTGGGGCAGAATACCTTAAAACCTAGCAAAAATTGAATGGTTCTTTTTCTTTTTTTATAAATTTTTGTTGATGTTTGAACACGGCATAAATAACATAAGTACTTTCTTTAATACCTTATTTTTCTCTAAACTTTCTATTATAGCATATTCAAGTTGATTAAATTTTTCATCATTTTTTTTTTTTGCCCTAGTTCTAACAACACACTAAGATGACGCACAGTGGGTTGGCAGATTCTACCCAGGTTCCGACATAATCTTTAACATCTTATGGACTACACCAGTCGGCTGTATGATAGTCTTTCAGGAAGTTAATATCTAGAGTTCTCTCGATGTACTGCCCTAGTCTTTGAGATTTTTAAACCAAACTAATATGGATAGTATCTCATATTATACAAGTTTTTACCTATCATAAATATGGTTTTGGCAGTTGTGATAGTCATTAATTAACTCATCTAATTTGATTTTGCAAGCTCTTACAAAAACTTCCCCACACACCACCACAAATCTTTTTACATTTTCTTATTCAGTATTAATCTAAGGATAGAATATCTTGTCCCCTTCAGATTTTAAAAATTTTAAATATACCTTCCTTTAAAATATAATTAGCTGTATTCTTCAGACAAAATCTGATTGTTTCGGAATTCCATGTAAACTGTGTTGCGTGTGATCTTGACCTCAGATGTCATCTTAGAGAAGAGATTTGGAACTAGTCCTTACATGTTTTTTTTTAAATATACTTCATGAAATTCAATTTAAAACTAAATTTGGAGGATTTAATTTTAATTCTGGAATTTTAAAACAAAGTTCAGAATTTAAAACAAGGCAGATTCGAAAGATCTGTAATTCATTGTATACACTCTGTTATTAATAAAATAAGAAGTAATGTAAAAAATATAAACTACGTAATACTTATTCAACAATACTATGATAGGGCATCATTTATCCATGCGTGAAATTCAAATCAATATTTATGTCATCAACACATTTTGTGAGACAATAATATTCTATTTAACAAATTTTTGATATTATAACTACCTATAAGTTCCAATTATATTTAGGATGCAACAGCATATTTTTTTATAAAAATCCTTAAAAAATAAAGCAGATAACAAGTATCTTGGAAGAAACATCATATGTGTTTTGGTTGTTTTTTTTTTAATCCCCTTAATTCCAACTATGTCATAATCTTTAAGTAAAATCACAAGCAACTTAATATATAAGATAAAAATTACATTAATAAAGTATAAAAAATACAAATAAAACACTGAAGATTGAAATTAAAATTATGTTTAAATATATTATTATTGATCAATACCTAATGTATATGCTGCAGTCCCTCCACATATCCCAAGAGCTGCACCCATAGCTATCAAACTATACTTCATTTTCCGCCACGAATCATCCCGACTTTTTTGATCATCATTTTTTTGTTGTTGTTTATTGCTAAATTCTGAAAGAGGTGTTTTCAATTCTGTTTCCATCCAAGGTGCTTTGGGAGTATTTGCTAAAAGGGGGAGAAAAAAAATTGAAAAGTTTAGTATTCTAGCACATGGATTTCTATTTCAACAAAAACACACTAATCCTCATAACCATACTATTCAAGGTCATCATGCCTACCTAAATTAATATAATTTTCAAATATAGTTAAATTGGAAATGGAAATATTAAAAATTATCTTAATACTTACAAGTAAACCTAGAAATAAATGGTGATGCTTTACTATATTCATTTTGCCTTTTCAAAGATAAGGAACTAAACCTTTTAGAGGAGTATATAGATTGAGAATTTCGAGAAATTTGAGAACATAATTTCGTCCCTAAGCGAAAACAATCAAAGGCTCTCTTGGCCATACTCTGATAAGTGATCCTCGTTAACCTAACCTTACATGTTGGCTGCCTAGACTGTTTTTATTTCATTTATGTTGACAGCAGTGTTACCATTTAAAATGGCGGAGGTAAACACCTGGTGATACCTTCCAAATACTTATTTTAACTGATAGATACGAGCCATGCTCCTCTTTAAGCCTTAATTTTTATCGAAACTTATAAGCAATAAATGTAGCCGATATTTTTAATAATGTAGTTAAACAACATGAGGATATGGCGTATTCGGTAAGTTGAAGATTTTGCGCCATGATTTTTAATGGGTACTTGCCTGGGGGGAATCAAACAAGTTTTTATTTTATTTGTTTTTTTTTTGTTTCAAAAGTGTTGGTTTGGAAGCCATGGGAGTTCGTGCATTTAGTTCGTAACGATTTCGCGTTCGTTTTTAAATTTATTTCTATTTAGAAGAATGTTTCGGTTGTGTTTTTTAAGTTGGACTTGTGTATGTGCTCATTTTGGTGAATAATTTCAAAACATGAATAAATCAGATGTAAGATAACCTTGTTGTAGGTTATTTTAGTTCATAAATTCTTTTGATTTCGGCTTATAAACAAAATTTAATATGCTTAGATTTATTGATCATGCTATACAACTCATAATTAACATTCACTAAGCTAGTATAGCATTGCAGAAAACAAAGAATTCATCCTAAAATATATTTAAGACAGTATTATTGTTCTTACAAAAGTCAAAATGAAGTTTATTCAAGTGTTAACTATTTTTTAGATTGTACAAGGAATAAATATGACTAGAAAGACCTTGCAATATGCCCTAAGTTAGATATTGTCCAAAATCAATATTACCTAGACAAATGGAGTAATACTCATTAGATCTGAGTATTAGGAACCCATAAGAGCAATATTCCGTGTTAAAATTATATGTCAGTTATAATATTAAATTTTGTCTTTAATAAAAATAATATGAGCTCCGCTGGTTATTTATTTATGCTCCCGGAAGGTGTTATATTTCTATTACAATTTGGCATGCCTGTCTCTAGTTTCACCAACGGAAGTAAATATATACCTCTTTTAATCATAAAGGTTATAAATTTCTATAATATAAAATATTTTTATCTTTCGAGTTCGTTTATTTTCCTATTAGTTACACGAAAAAAATTGCTGATTTGTTTAAGTAAGCTCCTAATATTTATATAAATAATTGTATGCTTTAAATGATTGAATTTACAAATTGTATATATATTGCTTATATTGTTGATGTTACAACGAAACAGTAGTATTTATAGAATAATTATCTATTTTCGATGTTGCTATGAATAATTTTTTGTAACAACTTTAATATTATTTAATTTACTATAAGTTCCTAACATGTGTAAACAAAGTTCAGTATTATATTCCTTGATAATTCTTCTTTATCTCTAGAATATTTATTTATTATGTTTTAGTGTGTGCGAGTGTACTTCGAAATAGGACATGAAGCATCTTTAAGGAATAAGCGTACTATTGAAGGTTTCACTCATGACTGGGAAGTATTTGTGAGAGGAGTAGATAATGCTGAAATTCACCATTTTGTTGACAAAGTGGTGTTTAATCTGCATGATACTTTTCCTAAACCTAAAAGAAGTAAGTATTGGTGTTTACTCTTTATTTATTCCATGGCTTTACATATTTTTAACTATATATATGATTCTTGTTGATTTGAAATTTGAAAGTTGATTCTTCTATTCTATGAAGGTTTATTTATAATAGTGCTAATCTGAATTGAAAAAATGATAAATATTGTGCTTTTCTTACAATATCAAACTTTGTTTATTGATGACATTCAGAGCTGTTTGACGTGAGCTATAAATATTATTAACGAATACAATGATAGAAGTAGTTTTTACCCATGATTATAGATAATGAAGGGAAGGTTAATTTATTTTTCTTATTGTCTGTTAGATAACTTAATTAATTATAGCTCAATCTCAGTAATTCAAAATAATTGCTAAGGGATGTCAAAATTATAGAAGTTGTTTCGAGAAAAAATAAACACTATAAGATCAAAATTCAATACATTCATCTTTATTCACTTGAAAACATATAATTTGTTGGTATAAAAGTTATATTTTTTCAAAATCTCAATAATATCTTGTTTGTTTTGATTTTTTGAGTATCTTCATTACAACTTTTTCTTTTAAACCTTGTAGAAGGATTAGCTGCCAAATTTTTTGTTCTCTATTCCTCATTGTATACAATGACAGAAATGAGGCACCGCATCTTCAAGCTTAGTAATATATATTTTATTCATTTCATTATTTACAAAACAATAGCAGAAAAGGGAGGATTGTGTGGATATGAGATAAGAAAAATCCCTGAAAATTCGATCAGGTGGTGGATGTCTCCTGAGGAATTTGTTTTTGTTTTTTAAAGTTTTCCATTCATCTTTTTTTTTTCTCTATTTCAAATTACTGGAGTGTTTGGACTACTCAAGTTCAGATTATTGAGATTGCTCAGTATATTCTGTTTTTGAATTATGATATTTAATATCTTACAATAATTCTTATATTACCATTATTCTACTGTACTAATATTCATTATATCTTCAGATTTTTTTTTTAAGTTATACAACGCCAAATCCTTTTTAATTGTCATCTATCTTAACCCTAAGAGCTCTCTCTTTTTATCTTGATGTGTAGGATTATTTCCTTCACATTACACATTTAATAATGAATGTTTCAATCAGGAGATTTGTATAGATGATTTTTTCAAGCAGCATGTCCTTAACATTCTTATTGATTTTTTTAAATTTTTATTCCTGATATTTTATGATGCACCACACACATGTTTCTCTCTCGGACTTCAATGAAGAAAAAAAATCATCTACCCACAATACACGTGCAAATAATGGAAAATAAGACTGAATCACTGCTAATCCGATCATGTCACATTTTCACTTTGATACATAGACATAACCCCAAAATGAGACACTAAATCAACAACTGCAATTGTGATATTCACTCCTTAGGCATCATTCAAAAGTAGCCCTAAGACATTTTTTGGCTCAGCTGGAAAATTAGAGTTTGTCAGTTTCATGATTTTACATCGAGACTGATAATATGGTAATGGTAGTAAAACTTTCATTCAGAAAATACTATTTATTCATGTAAAAATAATCTTTTAAGATAATCACACAAGAAGCTTAGTACATAAATAACATGACTACATTAAGACATAACATGACACACATCAATGAATGCATTTGACATTTCTATAAAAGTACCAGCTTTAAGTTTAAGGTCAACTCAATAGATTTAGAAAGACTCAGAAAAAAAATGCCTGATATTCTCTGTAGATGGATGAAAAGGAGCTGGATGGGAGAGTTACTTTAGAAACAAATAGTATCAATATCATGCCCTAATGGCTATCATCACTTCTTTCTGTAATATTTATTGTTGTAACACATTTGCTAGTTGTCGTTATACACTAGTAATTATAAATCAAACAAAAGAAAGAGACAAAATTAATTTATTATTTGATGTAACTAAATTTTAATTCATACAATCCTAAAATCACTATGAAACTAGTGGTAACATGATAATTACTAGCTAAAACAAAATGTTTGCTATATAGTACTGTATTGGGTAAAAGCATCATCAAATAATTTTTATAAAAATTAAAAAATTTTATGGAAGCTATCCACTGTTTACTTTACTTTGAAAAAATTTAACATTTTTTATATTTGGATTCGTCAATTTAATGAAGTACCACCAGAAAATAGCAGGCAAAACAAAAAGGGACAGAGTTAGGAATGAAAGGATATGGAGAGTCATGGGAGTGCCATGCTTGAGGGAAACAGTCAAAAAGAGCCAGTTGGGATGATTTGGGCATCTATGCAGAATGGATGAGGACTGTGATCCAAAGAAGTTTTCTGAGGCCAGGTCTATCAGACACCATCCTCGAAGAAGGCCTAAATTGCTGATGGAGCACATTAAAAGATTTGGTGAAAAGAAGGGGAAGCCTATGAATTCAATGAAAGAGCTGGATCAGGATTGGGACGCTTGGCAGTCTAGGATCGTGGCACCTCCATGCTGAGAGGCACTAAGGAAGATTGTAATTATTATTATTACAATGGCGCTACGGTCCTGCAAGAACCTGGGCCTCCTCTACTACTGCCAACCAATCTCCATGGTCTTGTGCTACTTCCCAGTCGCCTCAGATCGTCCTCAACATCCTCCAGCCATCTGATCCGAGGGCGCCCTCTGCCTCTTTTGCCATCCGGCTTCTCATGCAGCATCTTCTTTGGTCTGTCATTCTTTCCACATGACCTAACCATCTGATTCTGGTTCTTTTTATCAATGCTACAATATCAGGTTCACCATAGAGTTCCTGCAGCTCCTCATTCTTTCTTCTTCTCCAAATTCCATTCTCAAAGATTCCGCCCCATATTTTTCTCAATACTTTCCAATAAGAAAGATGATAAAGAAGAATTTAATGGTCAATTTTACAGAGAACATATTTACTAGACTAATGGCGTTATTTTTGTCTTGGGTCAATTCTGTGGATCAGAAATCATTTTATAGTAAATAAAGTAGTTAAATGTCAGAGATTAAAATGCTCCAAATGTCAGCTAATCCAATAAATATTATCATGACTGAAATTCCTGACAATTTTGTTTCATCATCATAATTGATCAGTCGACTACTAACCCATCTCTTAAACTTTAAGTTCTGTAGCTCGGTCACAAGAGGCAATGATCCAAAACCATTTCATATCAAGATTCCTGTACTGAAAATGTATAAAATGCATTTTAATATGAAGCTCCTTGTTTAAAGATTTTATATCTTTTCAGTATTCACTAATGATTCTGTGATGATCATATCGTAATATCATAGCACAATATTTTATTAAGCATTAATCATTAAAATAATTTAATAAAGTTATTTATCTATGGTTGGATTGAAAATTTCAATGTTATATTCAAGTCTTAGTTGCATGCAGATATTAATTTTATATAAACATTTCTTTTTTAACAAACAAATTTTGTTGTAGCTATCAAGGAACCACCATATTGTTTGAAAGAGTCAGGTTATGCTGGTTTTAACCTGCCAATAGATATTTATTTCAAAAACAAATCCGAGCATCGAAAACAGCGTTTTTTTTATGATTTGACATTTCCGGAGACAGGTCCTCGATTGACTAAATTAATTAAAGAAAAGGCTGAGTTTCCTAATCCTCCTGAAGATTTCCGGAGAAAACTTATTAGAGGTGGTGGGGTAAGTAGTCATTTTTCAAATAAAAAATTATTTATGCCAATTAAACTTTTATTTGTTTAGAACAAAAGCTGATTTTTATTTTTTTTTTTTTTTTTAATCTAATTTCTTCTCAAGAAATACTTTAGAGCTAATGTGGTAAATGATATGCAGTATTTTCTTAGTTATTCAGCTTTCAATTAGCGATATTTCTGATTAAGATTATTTCTCTTTATGTCTAAAACAAATCAAAGAGAATTTTTTGTATCAAAATTTATTTAATTTTTATAAACTATGGTAATAATTTGTATAACTTGTTTCATGATCTCAATTTAAATTTTATGAGTTTAAATATTTTCTAAGTATGTTCTCTCATGCTTATTGTTTTTGACATCAAAGGACTCCTTGTTCTTTTAACCTTTCTGATCTTGTTGTTCTATCCATCGTCACTTTAATTAATCCATTGTTGAAATGGGACTGGCTGACATATTGATGCTTGAGATCTTTGTCTGGTTCTCACAGTCATCTTTTTTATATCTCTCCAACCTTCGCCTTTTCCAAGGCATATTTTGAATATGGTGCATGATTCTAGACCAGGGGTCTCCAAACTACGATCTGCAAAAGTTTCTTTGATTACGTAGTAAAGTTTTAAAATATTTAAATAATACCAAATTAAGCAAATCATTCAAACAAGAGGTTTCTACGCCATTTATTGCATGAATTGTTTCTCTTAGAAAGCTCATTTCACAGTTGAATGGTTATTTATACGTCAAAGGCCATGGCCCAGGGGACTCAGTGAAGGTCTCTATACAGCCTACGGAACTTATTGGAGGTCTTAATGCTGCCCACGGGCGGAAAAGTTTAGAGATTTCTTTTCTAGACAATCAACTGATCATTTTAATACCAAATAGCCCTGGAGCCAGGGCCCAAAAATCGACCTGATCGCAGGCGAAGGTTTGATTGTAAATCACGAAAGTGTATGTTATTCTGAGTAAAAGAAAACCTTGTCTGCCGTTCCAGAACCACTGCTTTCAAAAATGGCGACTGATTTAAAGAATATTAGGCAAATAATTTGAGGATTGAAACGGGAAATCCATTGCTAAAAATGTGAGAAAAGTTTTTTTTTTTTTAACTTGTATATATGGGCTTAGACATGTAAAAAAACAAAATAGCTAACGCGGGCCACCAAGAGAAAACGTTTTACAGCCAAAAAGTCAGATTTTTTTGATATTTTTCGCCTATACCTCCTAAATGATGCATCAAAGCGAAAAATGTATTCTTTAATAAATTAAAGAACGTTAAATTTTGTGTGAAATGGAATACATACACTTTATAATTTGTTTACACGGCAAGGTATAAAACTACGGTCAACCAATGCTGATTTTTACCAAATTTGTCAAAAACTGTGACAAATTACTATAACTGGCCCTGTTAGTTGGAAATGAGTTCCCTAAGAGGAAAACCCCACAGAATCAAAGTTATAGAGAATCAAATTTTGCGTCAACTTAGTACTAACTAATTTAATTAAAGTCACTACATACAAAATCGGTAATTTCCCGATAGTTAGAAATTGGTAATGAAGGTAAACGTAATTTTCAATATTTTAACAGTATGAGAGTCTATTCTACTGAGTTATTTTTGTTTAAGAGTGTCTTACATGCAGTATAAGCCTCTTGTCCACCTCTCAACAGCAAATAATTTTGGTGAGCGATGTGTCGAAAATAACAAATTTTATAAAGGAATAACGAATTTCGATTCAAGGTATATAATTGGCCTACAATAAAAATGTTAGTACTCAACTGATGCAAAATTTAATGCTCTACAACTTTGATTCTGTTAGGTTTTCCTCTTAAGGAACTCATTTCCAAGGTACAGGTTCATTTATAGTAATTTGTCTCTGATTTTGACATATTTGGTCAAAAATCAGCGTTGGTTGACTGTAGTTTTATATCTTACCGCATAACCAAATTATAAAGTGTATGTACTCGTTTGACGCAAACTTTAACATTCTTTAATTTATTAAAGAATACATTTTTTGCTTTGATGCATCTTTTAGGAGTTATATGTGAAAAAACAAAAAATATCGAAAAAATCTGACTTTTTTTTGCTGTAAAAAGTTTTCTTTTGGTGGCCTGCGTTAGCAATTTTGTTTTTTACATGTCTAAACCTATATATACAAATTTAAAAAATAAAAACTTTTCTCACATTTTTCACAATGGATTTCCCGTTTCTATCCTCAAATTATTGGCCTAATATTCGTTATTCTTGCCGCCATTTTTTAAAGCAGCGGCTCTGGAATGGCAGACAAGGTTCTTTTTACTCAGAATAACATACACTTTCGTAATTTACAATCAAACCTTCACCTGCGATCAGGTCGATTTTTGGGTGCCTGGCTCCAGGGCTATAATATTGTCCCTCAACTCTTGATATGTCTTCATTGAACAGGGTGTAGTAGTAGTTTTCTAGTTTCCCTTTATTCAAAGGAGAGGGGGCAAAGATTATTTCTTATTAGTCCTCAGTTTTTGAGTAGGAAGGTGTTTTGACTTCCTCTTCTTTTAATAATTTCTTATAACCTTCTAAACTTTTCCACCGATTTGTGACTGTGAGTAAGTGATCAATTGTCCAATTTTTGAGAAGGAGTTGATCGGGGGATGCGGTCAAATTAGTACTAAATTAAACAAGTAGAATTATTTAATGTCCAATTTTTGGTTCTTTCTTGAATGAGTTACATTAATACAATAAGGAGTTAATAGTCCTTCTTAGAGCTGTAACATTTATAATTTTTTGCTGTTATTTTGGTTCCGACTTTTGATTTTTTTCGAGTGTTATAACAATAATTTGTTAAAATTTACTTCACTAATCAGCAAAATACAATAAAAAATGACAACTAATTGTTTACTCATCGTGGTTCTTTAAAAACTAAAGCCTCCTCCATTACCCTGTTCCATTTTATTTATTTTACTTTATCCGTAGCCTTGGTGGGCTATTGCTTGACGTTTAGCTGTTGTAGGTCTTCTTCCACATTATCCGCCATCATTCGTGAGGCTTCCCTCTCCTTCAAGAATCTTCAGGAAGACCATACTGCATTTGTCTAAGTAATCTCGACCTAGGTATCCTTTCCATGTGTCCAAGTCAGCCCAATCTTCTATCCTTAATAACTTGCACCATGTTGATTCTTTCTTTTATGTTGTTCAAAAAACACTGAGTTCTGGGAAACATTGCTAAGAGTTGATTCTTCTAATAGAATCTGTTTCATTAAATATTAAAAAATACATAGGATTTTTTTTTTGGAAAGTTTTTGTCGATTCAGTGATGATTTCCCATTCTAGAGTTAAGCATATTAGAAAGATGTTGCCCTTTATGATTTACTATACTTTAATTGTTATATACTTTACTTAAATTGTTAAGGATTAATATAATAATTATTCTGTTTAATGTTGTTGCAGGTTGGTGTCGGCAATGATACTACCACCAGTGCTGAAAAAACAAATAGTATTACTCCAAATAGTCATGGAGATGATTCTAAATCATCTCCCCATTCGGGAAAACCTAAATTAAATAATAGTAATTCCGACATACCAAAGAAACATAAACCAAAGGTAAAATAATTTTGTTATATTTCAATTAAATATTTTATTATATTTTGAACTATCTAATTATATTACATGATAGATGACATTGATTACTATGTGGCGAAGTATATTCCCCAGGTGTCTCTGGTTGATTTAAGTAACTTGTGTGAAACCAAATTGAAAGATCTCATTTAGTTTTGTTAAAATGATTCTAAGGTCAGTTTAAAAAGTTGTCTACAGATATTTTTTATTTATTTTAGGAAACATCAAAACCGGAAGAATCACGAGGTAATTCATTTGCAGCTCTTTTTGGGACACCAATAAAAACAATTAAGCACTCCCCGACTTCTAAGCCTACTGTCAAACCTTCAAGCTCTTCAGAGCTAAAAAGTTCACATGAAAAACAAGTAAGATATTTATAAAAATCAAAGGAATGGTGATTTGTGGTTTTGCCATTAACTAATCCAATTAATTTTTAATATCTTTCTCAATATGTTTTTTAACATCATTTTTATGTTATTTAGGCAAAAGAATCAGCAAAGATTCCCAAACATAGTCCACATAAAGACAAAGAGAAAGACAAAGAAAATTCCTTAAGTAAGTATAAGGATAAAGATAGGGATAAGGAAAAGGATAGTGAAAAGTCAAACAAAGACAAAGATAAAAACAAAGATAAAGAACATAAAGAAAAAGATAAAAGTAAGGATAAAATCCTGAAAAAATCAAATTCTCCCATACCCCCTAAGGATATTCGGAAGGACGAAAACACTAAACGACCCTCGGAAGAAAATAAAGATAGAAGTAGCTCGAAAAATGACACCATCAAGGAAAAAAAACATAAAGAAAAAAAACATAAAGAAGAAAGAGAGAAAAAAGATATACCACACAAAGATCATGACAAAAAGGAGATGGAAAAAGAAAAGGTAAATGATAAAATCGAGAAGAAACCAGAAATTCCTAGAGATAAAGATTTAAAAGAAACTAAATTTAAATCAAATGAAAAGGAAGATAAAAAAATTAAACCCATAGAAAGAGAAAAAGATCGAACACATATATCAGAAAAGCAAAAGCACAAGCATAAACGGAAGGAAAAACACCGAAAAGAAGATGATAAAGACAGACACAAAAAGAAGCCCAAAGAGAAAACACCAGAACCTATACCCCCTCCAAAAGCGAAATCGCCTACTCCGCCACCACCTCCACCTCCCCCACCAGTTCCTGCCAAATCAGCTATCAACCCTCTCAACATGCTTTTTCAAGAATTACCAGACAAAGATTCTGATTCAGATTTTTCTGTAAGTATGGAGGAAGATGTTAAAAGTGATCCACCCTCTGAACCATCTCCAAAACCTAAGATTGAGGAAAAAAAAATTGAAGTGCGGGAAGAAAGAGAGAAGTTTAAAAAGAAGGACAAAAAGAGTAAGGATGAAAATAAAGACAAAGAAAGTAAAAAACGAAAGAGGAAAACCAAAGATAAAGATGAACCCGTTGAAAAAATTATTAAAACAGAAGTAAGAGAAGAACCTATAGAAAAATCTCCTAAGCGTGAAGAAAGATCAGAAAGATCCGAATCTCCTGAAACACAGTTTACTGAAGATTATGTAACACAATTAAGGGACCTTCAACAAAAAATTATGACTTTGCAAGATAATGCTGATCTTCAACGTGTGGTCCAAGTAATTTCAGAAACAGGTCAGTTCGAAATAACACAAAGGACATTTGATTTTGATTTGTGTGCATTAGATAGAAGTACGGTTAAAAGATTACAAGATATGTTTATTACCGCATCGTAAGATGCTACGTTTTATTTCATTTTTTAAATTGAAGTATAGATCTAATTTTTGTTAGAAAAATTATTTTGCTCAATGTCATTTTTTTTTTGTTTTTTTTTCTTTGGCATTTGTCATTTCTGAATAGATTTATTGTGTACCTACGTATTTTATTTAATGTTTAAAATAACATTACATAAGTTTTAATTTCCTGATTATTTTATTTGTAGTTTTATGTAAATAGAATCTAGATGTAAGTTAAATGTACAAATAGAAACCATCTGCCTCATCGTTGCCTTTACAGTGGCCTGAATTAAAAACTATTTAGTTTTGGTATTTGTTGAATTTTAATACTATACATTACTGTTAAATAATTGGTACAGACTTTACCAAAACATACATTGTTTTAGCAAATACTGAACAGTTAAAAATTTATTATCTTCGTGATCAAATTTAATCTGATTATTCCAATTGTGCTTCATATTAATTGTAGGGCTTAACTTGATAAATTTGCTGCCTTAGGACAAATAATGTAAAATGGGGTGATTTCGAGAGTGGCTAAATAATAAAGAATATTTGCACTTTCTATATTTTTATATATTAGCGAAATTGAAATTTTGTAAATAAGTGTAAAATATAATGTTTATATCGTATAAAATATCAGATTTATCAACGAATGATATTTAAAAATCAGAAACAATAGACTGACATCACCCTCTTGAAATTACTCCTTTTTTAAAATTGTGACCTTATTTGGCTACTCTCTGTGATGAAGACCGCAAATATATAAATATATACAAACGTAGGAAATAACTATAATAGAAAATGAATTTTTATTTATAAAAATTGTATATATGTAAATAATATCACTCTAACTTAATAATTAAAAAACAATATAAAAAAGAAAAATAATTATTTAGAATGTATTTACCAGTGTGTTATACACAGAACTGAACAGTGTAAATAAATATACCTTAATACGTAATGTTATGGATTGATCATGCAATATGTTTATTGCCATTATTTATAATAGTTTTAAATTATTTATTGCATTTGTTAAAATTATAATTTATAATATGTAGTTAGAAAATATTGTAGTGAAAAACTATGAATTTTGGCATTAGACTAAAAGTCGCTTTTGATTATCTTAAGCCATCCAGTGTTGAACTATTTAACAAGTGTGCTCTGTGTTGGCAAGAGTAGTTTCAAAAACCCTGTAATATTTTCATCTGTAAAGTCAGGAAAATTATGTTTTCAAAATGTGTCATATATTAAATTTGTAGCCTTATAACATGGTTATATATTGTATTAAATTAGACCCGATTTTGCTTTCTAGTAATTGCACGCGGAAGTTATAGCCATGGCCATGCAGAGATGACCAATTCAATCACTACTATTTTAGGTAGTATCGACACTGGAAAGGTTAAGAAGCAAGGAATATTTAAAAATTTATTTTGATTGTTGAATTTATAATAATCAAATTTTATTAATTGCTTTACATCAAAATCTCATGTGAAAGTCTTTGCGTTTGTAGCAAAAACAAGATCTAAATTTGTATGTGAACAAAAGGGGAGATATCGTACATTTACGGTTATTGTGATTAGGGTAAGCGTTAAATGAATTTCAAAGAATGATTATTTTTAGAGTGTTCTAAATTAGTGAATATTATTCACCTTTGAACTGTACTTTTACATTGTACCTGTTATTTTGTTAGTAATAACATAAAAATTAAAATGAAATATAGCAATTCTGGTGCTCTAGCATTAAAAAACTATCCATTTTCATATTTACTTACAATACATAACAGCTCATAAAATATTGTTTTTAGTTTTCTAGTTGATTTTGTTCAGATCATTTTGCTATTTGTGTCATTATTTTTAATATTTATTTAAAGAAACTTTTTTTTTGTTATATCATTACATATTTATATTTTAATTCATCATCCAGTTAAATAGTTCATTTATTATTTTTAAAGGAATGAAATGAATTTAATTTTAAGAACAGTTAATCATTATTATTTTTAGAAAAAGTAACGTTTTATTTTATTTATTTATTTATTTTACTGATTTCCATTACATTATATATTTTTTATTTGCTGTTTCTTTATCTTTTTCCTAATTAAAGAAAAAAGTTATTGATTTTATGGTTAACATTATTTATTTATTTTTAATGATTTTGTATAACAAAATTAAAACTGAGCTGACTGGTTCACTGTTTCAGTTAAAACGCACTTGTAAATTTGTTTACACTATGAATTATTAAAAAGAAATATTGTTTATTGACTGTTATATTTTAGTTTATTCTAAAGACAAAAAAAAAAACTGTTATGTATATAACTTATGATCTCAGGTGGTGTGGGTTGTTAAGTTAATTTTGGGGATATAAGTTACGAAGAACATTAAACACACTGTGTGGAATGTTTTGTTCTTTAAACCAGAATATATTTATATATAATTTTTTTTTATATCCATGAATTTATGAAATATGTTAACTTTTACTATTATTATTGAATTATGTAAAGTGTGAATCTGGTCTTTTGATCTAGTGTATATTTTAAATAATTTAATTTTTTTTTATATATATAATTTCTTGTAAGTGTAGTTACATGGCCAGTTCTTTCAAGGTTAATATTTTTCTTTTTTTATGGTACTAGTGAAATATGAAGTTTAGACCCAATTGTTTTAGAATTTCATTTTATTATTATATATATACTCTACCGTTGTAGAGAACGAAAAGCAATAAATACATTTTCTTCTTACTTTTTTTTTATAAATATAAATTTTGAAATATCTTTTGCAAAGTATTGTTAGGTTTTGTTTAATGAGCTGTAGCCATTTTTGTTTTTGTTCTTGCTAATTGTTTCTTGTGTTACATACATATAGGGTTAGTTTAAGTATTACCAAAATTTAGAATATTCATGGTATTTTTTAGTTATGTTATTAGTTACTGTTTCCATTATCGCTAACTTACACAATTAGCACATTTGTGTGTTTTTTTTACACCAAGGAGGTTCCTCATGAACACTAAGTTTCATGACTTCATGTGGATTCCAATAACCGAATGTTTAATGCTGTGTGTTCAAATGGATCTCTATCTTTAATTAATTAGTTTATTTTACCACCTTAAAATTATTGGAAATGAGGACCATCACTAATTAGTACTTAATAATTGTCAAATGTGTTCCTTGCAAGAAACAAAATAGCAAAATAATAAATGTTTTAGTTAAATTTGAACATTGTGTGTGATAGTTTGTAAATCAGCTTTGCCTTAACCATTATATTGTTGCAAATAATTTTTTTTTTTTTCATTTTGTATATACAAAGTTAAATATAGTTTTATGGCTTATTTATTTCTAAATAAATAACTTCAAGAGTGGTTAATCATTGATTACTTCCCTGAGTTTTTATCTTTAGATATTCTTCCTATTTACAAAGATTAATTTATAAAAGTCAGCGGTACAATTCTGACGAAATCAACTCAAATGCTATGATGATAGCTTTTCTAGATGAAGTATTTTTTTTTTTTTTTTATTAAAAGCCTTTACCATTGGCTATTAGGCCATTCGGCTCCTGGCAGCCCAATACAACTCCTTGTTTGAATCCTTTGTTTGGATTTGTTTCGATCCCATCAAAAGTATTGCGGACATCTGAAAGAGCTGGGCAAACTGGGAGGTGCAGGTCGTACATCTTGTCCTGTCGGCAAAGAGGGTACACAGGGCTTTCCATCACTCCAATCCTGTGTAAATGCCGTTGCAGGTAATCGTGCCCTGTTGCCATGCGGAAATTCTTTCCTATTTTTGGTTTGTTTCATCGGCTTCTCTGTTAAACATTCTCATTTTTTCCCCACTCCCTGTCGCTTTTGCCAACTCTTGTTCTCTTCCTTGTATAAGGATTTTAAAATCGTTTTAACAGATTCTTAGGGCAGTGGAGGATTAGTTTGTGCCATTTCCGAGGCGATCCGTGCTAGCTCATCAGATTTTTTGTTTGCTGGTAGCCCGCAATGGCTTGGAACCCTTTGGAAAGCCACTCGGATTCCTTTTTTAATTAAATTATTGATCCGATTTGTGACATTAGGATGGTCCAGGCCATTACAGATCAACAGTTTGGCTGCTTGTGAATCAACAAAGATCACAACTTGGGAATAGGTCAGTTCTTTATCTATTGCAGTCAATGCTGCCGAAATGGCTTTGACTTCTCCATCAAAGTTTGTTCCTCGGCTACCAGCAGGGATGGATAACATAAAGTCTTGGCAGTATACTCCTGCTCCTGCATTCCGCGTACCTGTTTGAGCGGAGCCGTCGGTGTATGTGAGGAGCCAATTCCGCTCGGAATAGCGGCTATTTATTGTTTCCAAAGCAAGCGCTTTCAATTCCCACTCAGGTGTTTGGTGTTTACTAACAGGTTGTGTTAGATCTAGACGTGCCTCTGCAATAAATCTTTGCTTGTAGATGAAATAGATATAGTAGACAGATAAAAGAGAGATTAAGAGCAGGCTTTTCTTTATCAAGAGATTGCTTGATGTTGCCTAGGATTTCAGGTAATCATAATCGAAGTATATACCATATGCTGGGTAATTCTCCAAGGCCAACACAATTCATTATCCAGTGTACCATTCATTTTGCGTACCAATAGTTCAATGGCTAAAACAGTTAACACGGCCAGCATGTACTGATACATAAGTCATCTGATATCAAGAAAAATGAAAGCTAAGCTTAAAAAATGTTGTATTAGGTTTGTTCTAACATGTGTATGAAAACTCTACTCTAAAATCTGTATGAAAACTCCCTCTGTTTAGGTCAGATGTCGACAGTTTATAGCTCTTCAAAAGGAAAGTATTAAGAAGAATATTTAGAACAGTTAGAGGTTTTATCAGGAGCCACACACGGTGTAGCATATGTAAATCTCTAGGCTGATTAGAATGGAGGACGGTGTTCTTAAAAAAATACTTCTGTTTAGATGGATAAGAAAGATGTTTTTTTTTTTTTGGAGGGGGGCGGGGTGGCCGAATAGGCTAAAGCGTGTGCACAACACCGCTAGTTGCCTGGCAACTGGATAACAGAGATTTGAGATGTTATAAAAAGTACGAGTTCGCGTCCCGGTGCCGGAGGGGATTTTAAATTCCCCGCCCTCACCCCCCGGCCCGGGAAAATCCCGTATAGCCTAAAAGGCGATATGAAATGGTGTTTAAGTGATTCTTGAAGTCATATTAAATGTAATTAAACGAGCAATAATACTTTAATATCGGATATCGGAAACTTGACCCGACTGCAATACTTTCCTTACCTAGTATAGGTAGTTAAAAAAAGTATTATGGTATAACCCAGATTATTTTGATTTTTGCAGATTAGAAACCTAGATTTTTCCGACCTTTTTGGTTAAATACATTTTGTTTTATTTCTCATATAAGCCTCTTTACCAAAGTTTACTCTGAATTATATTACCACAAGTGTGAGCACAGGCGGATTTACGAGGGGGAGGGGCTTTCGGGCTGAAGCCCTCCCCTAAAATGGTAAAATGTAACCATGCTTTATGGTAAAAAATATGTATTAAAGTATTATTGCTCGTTTAATTACATTTAATAGGACTTTAAGAATCACTTAAACACAATTTCATATAGCTAGTTAATATCTTTCTGTTATTCCAAAGTAATTAGCGTTATATATATGGAAAAAAAAGCTTCCGGGCTGAAGCCCCCCGCCAAAATTAAATCCTGAATCCGCTAGTGAGTGTGAGTAATGAATGATAAATAAGTTTAAATCAACCAGAAACCTTTGTTCTAGATGCTTGACAATTAATATGTAGTTCATTAATTAATTGGAGTTAATTCATTTTGTACAGCAAAATTACATCTCTTAAAGCTAGTAATTTATTCATTTATTTTTTTTACAATCTGTTAGTGAACAATCTCAAATAACTCTCCTACTAATATCTGAATGAGGAAATTTAATCCTTTAATCCAGTTTTTTTACAAATAAATTTTTATCAACACAAGCCGGATTTGAATTTGCTTCGTAGGCCTCCATAATGTTTAAGTGAGCAACGCCTCAACACTCTCCACCATCACTTATCCCTTAATCCAAGTGTACCTTAATTCTAGAAGTGAATAACCAAATCTGGCGCCTATCTCTTGTATTTCGATATTGAGGCCAATAATCTTCACCAGGCACAGCTAATACATTTTGCCTGTATTACAACGTCCCAATCCAATGCGTTTTCAGATCATGGCTCTAGAGCATGAGATATTTTTGAAGTCGGAGTTGAAATATTTCCGAGGACATTCAACGCATTATGCCTTTCATCTAAGTTCAAGTTTATTGTTTATCGCTAAATTGCCACCAGTTTATTCTAACCTCTAATTATAATAGCTTTCACCTTCCAATCCATTAACTGCTTGCCACGAATTCTCAAGTATTTTCCGGCAGTAGTCTTAATTTATTATATTCACACTTCCCACACCAATTAAGTAATCTGCATTACTGCTCGAAATAATGTATGCAAATCATGTCTTTTAATATTTGCTGGGTTACTGTGCTATTTCTTTAGTGTTAGATCGGCCACAAGCAGCTAAGAATGAACGATGTCAATCTGTAGCGTGATTTCTTGACTTAGCACAATAATTACGCAAAAATGGAATATTGTTAATTTTTTTGTGTAAGGACGCATTTGATTTAATGTGTTTTGTAGTTTAACTCGAATTTTAAAGTTGTGGACATTAGCCATTTTAGTTTTAACATTCAGATGTTTCCAGTCCATTGGAGTTGCTCAAGGTAGTATCCTAGGTCCTATTCTTTACACAGTCTATACAGCTGATATCCCAACCCATCCTAACACCGTTATTACAACTTATTATACCGGTGACACATAGGAATCAGTTCATAACAATTGTATCCCAAACCCTTCAATCCCACATCACAAACCTTGAAGAATGGTGTCAAAACTGGAGAATTAAAATAAATTCCAATAAATCCCATCAAATTACCTTTACCCTTCGTCATAAACCTATGACTTCCTGGCCTACAGTTTCCTTTAATAATACCCTACTTATCCCTGTCGAACAAATCCGATACCTAGGACTCCACCTGGACAAACGTCTAACTTGGAATCCGCATACTAAACTGAAATGACAAGAAACCGGTCGACGTTTCCGACTACTTCAGCACTTACTAGACAAACGCTCTAACCTTTCAATTAATTACAAAAGACTCATATACATGACCATAATAAGGCCTATTTGGACTTATGGAGTTGAGCTGTGGGGCGCCACTAAACTATCGAATTCCTCTCATATCCAATTTTTACAATCCAAAATTCATCGTAAAATCCTTAATGCTCCTTACTTCAGAACTTTAGAACCATCCTAATCCTCTCGTTTCTAATCTTGCTTCTTCCTCGATTCCTGATAACCCTCCTAGGCGTCTGAAAAGAAGATGGCCTCGTGATCTCCTAATTTATAAACTTTATTAGAGTGCTACCAATGGGTAGATTCTTTATAAGCCTTGTCATGTCATGTATTTATCTGTATCACATTTGCTGAATGTATATTAAATGTACAGTAGTAAATTTCATAAATAATAATAAAAAAAAAAAAAATACAGATGTAATTTATTACATCCCGTATGAAACGGGAACTTCTGTGACGTATAATTATTCTTGGTTATAAACCAACTAAGTGTACCACAAAGTTTCACTAGCCTTAAATTTGGATTATATAAGTCTGTTTCTTTCTTTTCATAAGAATATTACCACGTACATTAGTGAAATACATCCGAAATTTATGTGGAAAAACAAAACAATCAATCAAAAATAAAAATGATGACAGAAAGTTTTATCAATTTTTATTTTCACTTGCCTGTTTATAAAATATATAGTGAAGGATAGTATTGCACATCTTTATGCACTAAAGATAAATTGATTAAATTTCAGAGGAAGCTTTCTTTCTCAGTAGTATAAGTATTTACTTCGTGATCGGGAAAGACAGTCTTCTCTGTCAGTCTTAAATCGACTCAAAAGATGCTTAAATGTTTGTTTGGCGCTTTTTAAAATATTTTCTGCAATCAATACTTACGGAAAGCTTTGTAGGTGTAATTACTCAGTTTTGGTTGATGATCTCTATCGAACATCCGGATTATTGTTCCGTTTCTACTGATAAAAGCGTGATAAAGCTTAATGTCTTCCTCAATATCTGTCCCAAAATTAACTTGTCAACGGAAATGGGCAAGGTTCATAAACTCAGCGCTGAGGTCTTTGATGAGCATCGGAAATCCATCAGGTCGCTCCTGAACTCATCGATGTAATAGTGAACCACTTCCTCAACTGTACGGTGAGAATATTAATTAAAATCAGAAATCCATCAATGGATTAACTTGCCCAATGTTA